CCGGCAGAGCTTCCGCAATCGGTGGGCTGACTTCCCACAGAACCTTGATGCGGTCCCACGGGTTGCAATCCCGCCTGCCGCCTTCCTCTCGTAACCAATGGACTAGACTTAGAGTGCGAAGGGCAGAAAGAGGTAGGTTTGAGACTCTCAAATCCAAGGGGGGTGCACTCAGACTCGCATGAGAGGGCCTCGTTATCTTCAGTCGCCTGAGGGCCCCGCAATGGCAGCCAACTGACAGCTTGAACAACAAAGTCAAATTGTCGAAGTAGCTCCCCCCCCCCTGACGATCCTCCCACTCGCAGCACCAAGCTCCCTCCCTCAGTCCAACCCCTCCTCCAAGTCCAACGACAGTTGCCTAACACTATGCCCTGACCCTCAGGTACAGTGGCAATACACAGTGGAGGTTAGCAGTCGCGGCAGCCGCCACCCACAACCGCAGCCTCGCCCAGTCTCAGTGGTAGTCCTCAGCAGCGGTCTTCGCCCAATCCGTTCCTCCTCAACCATGCCAAATGAGGATGAACTTCCCGCTAGAATGTGGGAAGATACACTCCCTTGTGAAGATTTCCTTTTCCTTTATAGTTGCAGCGAGGGAGACCCTTACTATGATATTGATACACCGAGGCAAGGAGTATACCTCATAGGCAGAAACACACTCCAACGAGACTTAGTAAGTGTACAATGAGGTTTCATGTTCCGCTAAGACCGCTGTAGTTTGGCCAACAGCTCCCCCATAGGTTCAACCCGTACTTGCTCGTTCTACCTCCGCAAGCCAGTTCCAAAGGCAAGGTGCGGGTATACCCCTGTACCCAATTCAGCCCGCCTCAGTCACCCATCCAATCGACGGCAAACAGCCTGCACACACTCCCTCCCACTCTTCTTCGTCTAATAGGATGAACAGTGCACCGCCCCCTGACCGGCCTACTCCTTTATGCCCGCCTACAGCTGCGTCGCATGATACGATCGGCAGAGTCTTAGCCAGCGGCCGGGTTTTCATCCCTGTGGCTTGCCCCCTCTTTACTCAGAAACAACAGGTTGATCAGCTCTTCAGTCAGCCGTAAATTCAACAGTCTCCGCAGCTGGTCTTCTTGCGGCACCGGCTGATGAAATGACGGTCTGCCAGTCAATAGATAGACCTGTAATACCACAACCTTTCTCCTTGGTTGGCAGACAAACCATTACGTAAATAGTAGCTGATTTTAGTGAGCCACCAACACTTTTCACTGTGCAAAATGCCCATACTCAGACGTGCATTTTTGATGCAAGTATATGACTACTGACTATAGCAACAACCCATGTGCAGCTTTTCATAGCCGTAATAAAAATCAACTAAACTCTCAATTACTGTAAGCAGGGAGAGCCAACACCTGATCAGTGACAGACAACTGCGTACCGAGTGGGTGAAGAGGGGCCGAGTCTTCTACTAGTATTCAAGCACCTGCTCGTTGTCGTCCTCTAGGTGTGGATGACCCTTTTGTTGAATCAGGGCCAGATTCATGTAGGTAGGTAGGACTCTCTCCCTCTCTTTCTCTCTCTCTCTCTCTCTTACTAACTCCACCACGAGATCAGAAACACCTCGGTCGGGTCGGAGGTCCAATCAAGGTGAAGCAGGTCTCGACCGTGTAGACAATTCTTGAAGAGAGGAATCAGGAGGGAGAACAACACCTTCAAACAAATGACACAAGTAGCGCCCGACCGTCAAGACGTGCTAGCGGTTTTCCTCCATACCAAATCCTTTTACTAAAACAGGAGAAAAGAAGATAAAAAAAAAAACTATATATATATATACATATGTATATATATATATATATATATGTCCTAAAAAAAAAACACAAAGTAAAATAAAAAGTGAGAATAAAACTCCCGCTAGAATTTCATAGCAATTGCGCAGTTCCCACACCTTGTCCCACCAAATCTGTTACTCCATTACGAAATCTGACACTGCCATTGGATTCGCAATGGCCAAAAACCCCGGATTAGTATCTTACATCGCTGAAAACGGCCACGAAGTGACCAAGTTATGGCAATTTTACTCCCAATCTTCTCCTCTCTCCGCCATAGCGCCGCGCGGCTCTTTTTGCTCCGACCCTCTATCCTACTCACCTTCCATTAGTTCTGTCGTTAGATCTGGGTTTGCCTTATCCCCAACCATAGAGTAGCACTTTCTCTCGACCAAAACCGTCGAGAAACGAATGAGGAATTCACTTTTCCTCCCACCACCGTCACTTGCGTTTCTCCTCCATGCCCACCTCCATTGCACCCAACGCGACATTCTGTCCAGGTTCACCCGGCCTTCTCAGCCACCCCGTCGGCTTCTCCTGTATGCATTTCGAGCCACTTCGGGCCCAAGTTCGGTCTGCTCTCCTACACAGCCACCTTCCCCGCCGCTGCCTGGCACCGCCTGTCCTCACCCATCCAATCCGCTATGTGCCCACTTTGCTACCTGCGCACCGCTGCCTGCACCGCTCTCCCCCCGCACGCACTCAGTGCCTCCCCTAGACCGGGTTTACTCCCGTGCCATCGGCTTGCTTGTGGCCCAGCTCCGCTGCCTAGCTGTGCATCGCTCCTTACCTGCACTCACTCTTGCCTGCCTCGCATCCCTCTCTGGCCGGCGCTTCACTCCCCCTCTCTTTCTCTTTCAGTGGTTCCACGGCGACACACCTCGAGAATGATTCCTCCGCCAGAACATGGGCGGATACACTCAGTGCAGCTGGCTATTGGCAGCGCCTTTTAGTTGCGGCCAGGCCCGTAGCTAATCTTATAGCGGTACGCCGTCCTCCCATCCATGACCCTCGCTCCCGCCTACCTACTGATAGCAGAACTGACTGTATCTGGTGTGGATGTGCGTCCAGGTCCCTCTTCGTGTTCGCTCCCCGTTGGCGCACACACCCGCCAACCTTCCAGTGTACTTAGCTCGGAGCCTCGGCCAGATCCCTTCACTCCCTTCATCAACCACCTTGTAGCAAATACGAAGGTCCAGCTCAGTCAACAGGCAGTATCCCCCCTGCCTTCCCCTCTCGTCCTCTTCGCCAACTCCCTTCCCCGTTCCCTCTCGTCTGCACTCARCTATTTCAGTCGTAGTGCACTGTTAGCAGTATAGCATCGACCTCGTCGTGCTCACCAGCAAAAAGCAAAGGTCGGGCACCTCCTGATTTTATACGCGTCGGTCTCGCACCGGGGCCATGCTACTCTTCTCTGTATCGTCCCAATTTTAACAGATGTCCCGAGGGACCGTTCCTTGACAGTAGTGCCCCAGCAGTTTGTGGTGCACCCACGAAACTAGGCTGTTCGGTTCCTTGGTCGGTTCTGGGACTGGTACCGGACCAAGCCCTGTAACGGGAAAAAAAAAAAATACGAAAAAAAAAAATACAATAATAAAATAAAATAATGAAAAAGGCTTAGGAAAAAAATTAAAGAGACGGAACAGGGGGAGGAGGACCGTTGGTACTTGGTCCTACCTCACGGGCCCGCTGCCTGACTCCCCTCAGCAAAACCAAAAGGGATAATCCCGGGGGACCCTCAACCCCTCGGCCTTCTTCACAGTGCTCTGCTGCTCCACTTTGCTGCCCGTTGGCCTCGATCCCCGTATCTCCGCTATAACAATCTGACACCGTAACCTATAGGGCTAAGCCCAAACCTGGTACAGGCCAGCACGGTATTCCATATGAACAGGTGCGGCGCAGCCCCCAGGCCTCTTTCCTACCTCCCATTAGACATGCTACTGCTAGGTTCCTAAGCCCGTTTGCCCTCTTTGCGTCGTGGCCGCCCCGCACCCTACTTCGCACGTTAGACTACCACGGTCACCAATCCCTGCCAAGGGCACCTTTGACTCCTAGTAGCCAGAGTCAGGCCGGCCAACTACGCCGGTTGCATAATCCAAAGTCGAAAAATCACACACGGGCCTTAATCCCGCGCGCCCACACCCGCTCTACTCGTACTTCCGGTCACTTGCAAAAACAAGGGCGGATACCCTTGTTTGGGTATTCGCGCCGACAGCGCCCTGCCCAAAATTACGGTTACGCGCAAGATTAAGGGCGCCGACTAATCAGAGCTCCGTTGCAGCCGCAAAAAGAAGCACACGAGCAACAAGGCAGCGCGCGACAAAATAAATCCTAAATTCCTAAATTCCTAGCTAATGCAAAAAGAACTTTAATAAAATGCAAATTCCGAAGAGAAAGTCCAAAATTCCAAGAGCCATCGAGGGCCGATAAGATTCGAAAAAGAAATTAAAAAAAAAGCAAAACTTCCCGTGCGATTTCCGCGCCTAAAACCGGACAACAGAACAAGAAAGAAGCGACGTCAAACATTATCAATCGCGCCTTTGTCAGCGCGACAGCCACTCAACCGGTCATCTCGGGATTTGCCCGGCCCTTAACCTAGCCATCCGAAAAGAAGCGATGCAAAAAGACGAAGAAGCGAGGACACCGATGCAATTTCCCCTCAATCCTGATCTCCCGTAATTGGCCCGACCTTCCCATCTTAGGACCCCTCATTGTCATCGCACAGAAAATCGTGCGGAACAAAAATTGGTTCGTCACAGGTTGCTGTGAACCCGGAGCTCTACGAAATCCAGTCTGAATGGCTTCGTGAGCATGAGGTCACCATCCTTTTTGGAGAAGAATCCGCGTCAGTTCCCATAGATGTTAAAAACGATTAGTTCAGATCTATGAGGATGGTTGGGCCAGCTCGACCCAAATCGCCTCGCCTGCGAAGAGGGGCTTGTTTCTTAACGAGGGTCGGAATTTGATTACATATATTGCCCCCACCAGTGAGATGGCGACGTGGATGCTCAAAATGACTCAAACAGGTATTGAACTTGACAAGGTCAAATACACGATCTCGTTCAGACTATGGATGGCAGAAAACGAGCTCTGCGAGTGGAGGGAGGTTGCGAAACACCGTTTTTTTTGGATTAGGTATCAGCATGTCCCTATTGGGGTCCTCCCCCTTCTCCCAGGAGCAGTATGTGATGCTTACGATAGCAATATAATCAAGGAATACTTGGTATTTAGGGACAAATTGGATCCATATCTCTTGAATGTAAGGTGTGACCTGGATTCAGCCGCCAGGCGTCGGTACAAGAGATACCTCGTGATCGACCAAGGTTTGGATGGCTATGTTGAACTGGAAGTGGTATGTGCAGAGACCCCGTGGTGCTCTGCCTGTAGATGACACTTCCATTCAAAAGGGGATGAATTTTGCCAATCGAACAAAAAGAGTTAAGGGAAAGGGAGGGAAAGAGGCGGCAAAGAAGGCCGGCCAGGGGGGAAGAGGCGAGAAAGGAGGGAACATGAAGGATGGTGGGAAGGATGGAGGAAAACAGCAGAAGGAGGGAGGGGACAAAGACAGGCAGGAGATAGACAAGAGGGAAGAGAAAGGTGGTAGAAAGGGGAAAACTGGTATGGATGCCGCATATGTTGATAAGCAGAAAGGAGAAAAAAAGTCAAATACGGGGAAACCAGAAATGGACAAGGAGAAGGGTAAGAAAGTGGTGGATCCAAGGGTGGAGAAGGGTGGGAAGGGGATGCGTAATATAGCTAAGGGTTTAGGGAAATCCCTGGTCGTCCTCTCTGATAAGATGGATGAGGATCGACTCACCCCTGGACGGGAAAAACGTAAACGTGAGGATGACAACGAGGCCATGGAGGATCAACCGGAACACAAATTTATTGTAAAAGGTAATAAAATCGTATTACACGATGGTTTTGACCCTCCCCTGGGCCTTGTGATCCTCTCCCCTTCCCGAGTGTTTGTAAATGAGGCCTATACATCCTCTCAGGATGAGGCTGACTATGATTCAAATCTTGGTGTGAAAAACCTCTATCCGTTAAAAATTGCTAAGTCCAATCGCTCTGTACCCATTGCTTCTTCTGGTTCAGATAAGCCCCTCTCTCTGCGGCTTCCCCTGCGAAGAAGCAGTGCACATCCAAAAAAGGAACTCCGGTCTCTGAGATCAAGGAGGTACCTTCAACGTCCAATAACCAACCCCCCCCCCCCCCCCCCCCCCCCCCACAAAAGTACGGAGAACAGGGCCAAGGCGTATCAGTGATAACCCCCCGATACAAATAAATCCTTGAATTTTTCCCATCCGATGCACACTTTGTCAGCAAAGGATAAGAAATCAGACAATCTTAAAGAATTTCTCATTCCCTTGGTGATCACGGCCTCGCCCCATGACCCCATGGTGCTTACAAACATGGACAAAGATGAAGCTTTGTCACTTCCGGCGGTCCCCACCACAGGCCCACCCCCTGATTCCTTATGGCTTTCGACCACAAAGAAACAGGTTTTGCGAAACTCTGGAGTTTGCACCATTTTGCAGACTCCTAAGCGTGACCGTCACATATCGACCAATACGCAAGGCAGTAAGACAGTCCTCCACATAGTCTGCCTAGCCCTCCAGGCGAGCCCAACGAACCTGGAAAAACTGCGCTCTCGGCACATTTACTGGCTTCCCTTAGCCCGCTTCTTGGACAAGATTTCTGACACGCTGAGAGACATCAGTCTTCCAAAAGGCCTATCTGCCCAGGAGGTGGCGGAGTGGCTTCACCACACGGAGGCAGCGGATGGCTTTGCGTCAGAAAGATTCACAACAAACCTTGCATTCACATCTCACCCTGCCCCTTCAGGTCGGGGTCGCAAACCCACCCTCCCGAGAGGTAGGGGATCTGTGATTCGAAAGAAGTCAGCATCGCGCATCCAAATCTCACGCGATAGAGGTTCAGGGGATGGTTCTACCAAGTAGAATTAGACTCTTGATTTGGAATGTGCGTGGTTTTGGAGACTCCAATAAGAAATACAAAAAAGCGCGATTTAAGAACTGAATCCATTCACATAATGTGCAGATTGCCTGCCTGCAAGAGACCAAATTAGATCACAGTACGATTGCCTCTATCAATGGTGGTGGGAGGGTCCACAGGTCTGGTCCCCTGCGGAGGGGACTAGAGGTAGAGTTGTCCTCCTAGTGAATAAGGATCTAGACTGCGTAGCACGGCAAACGCGTTCGCGCCCCTTCATGTTCGCACGAACGTGTTCACACGTTCGCGCAAACAGCTCGCGAACATTTTTTTTTTTCGTAAAAAAATATATATATATATATATTTTCGGTTTGTGATTTTTAAATCATGATTGGCTACGAATTTGAACATGACTGCAAGGCAAAAGTTGCTTGTATTGTTATTTTACATAACATAGAGTTTTTTCATATTTTTCTGAGAACTTTTTGTTTTTTTTTTAAATATTTTTTATGTTTGCGTTCGGAGGGTTTTGGGCGCTTGTTCGCGTTCGGGCGAACATGTTCGCGTTCGCCTCCGAACGCGAACATGGTGCTACGTAGGATCTAGATATCGTGATACTATATCAGTACCATGATAATGAAGGTCGATGGGCTTGGCTTAAATTATCGCTGGAATCAGAGGAATGACCTATTATGACTGTTTATGCCCCTGTGGATTATAATGGTCGTCAGTAATTTTCCGCAAACCTACCCGGCTGCTTACCAGATGCGGAAAACATCATTATCTGTGGGGACTGGAATGCAGTATTGAATCCGGGTTTAGACACATTGGGTACGCCCCCCTTGCGCGATGACTCGATAATGCTTTCCTCCTTTTTGGAAACGCAGTCCTTTTCCGATGCTTTCAGAACCTTTCATCCACAAGAGAATGGATTTACTTGGTTTGCCCCCCCCCCCCCCCCCCTCCAACCTCCCCGGCCCCAAGAAAAAAATTGGATTTATTTCTAGTCGGAGATGCCTCGTGGGACCGAAGCATGTGGTGGGATGTGGTACCGACCTCCATGTCCGACCACTATCCAGTTCCATTAGACATCCTTCCCAAGGACACGGTCGGCCGCCATTGCCCTCCATTCAGATTAAATGCTAACCTGTTGAAGGATCCTTGTATCATAGAATGGATCAATGCTCACTTGACGAAATGGTTGGAGGCAAAGGTCCTATTCTCTTATTATCTTCAGTGGGCGAATACATAAATTTTCATTATCAGACAGGGTCTGATCACCTTCTCTAGGATGAAGGCAGCAAAGAAAAATTGGTAAGAAAAATCCTTGGTTAAAATCATAAGCCAGACTGGGTCTCAAATGGGTGAAGATTCTTTTTCAAATTTTCACTGGTCCGGTATCCGAAGGGATGCCCTTGTCCGCCTAGAAGCCTTAGACATAAGGAAACAAGGGGAATGGATCAAATTCCTTAGGCTTAGAGGAATTATCGACTATGATAAAATGACAAAGTTAACTTTTCGTTCTCTTCTGCTTCGCAAATCTAAATCATTGATCAGGGAATTTTCTCACCCCTTCGATTGTTCGGGACATGATTAAATCGTCACCCTTTTGGGACTGCTCTAATAAGTCTATTTCTCACAATGCTGCCCTTGAATTGGACAAACCCATGGAGATCTTTGAAATTTTGGGTGCAGCTAAGGCGATGGCTAAGGGCAAGTGCCCCGGCTTAGATGGTCTGCCAGTAGAACTGTTTCTGGCCACGTGGGAGACTGTTGCGCCTTTCCTATGTGATATCTACAATCAGACCCTCCATTCGGGCCGTCTCCCGAAGGGCTTCACACAGGGCATGATCTCCCTCATGTACAAAAAGGGGGGGGAAATAGATGTCCGCAACTGGAGACTGATTTCAGTGCTTAACGTCACTTACAAACTTTTTGCCAAAACATTAGTCTTGCGCCTGACCAAACTCCTCCCCTCCCTGATCGAATGGGAACAGGGGGCATTTGTAAAAGGGCGTTTCTTCTTTGAGAATATGATCTCGGTCATCCAAGCTCTGAAAGTTATTGGTAAAGAAAAAAGGGATGTTGCGGTCCTCCTCCTCGATATGGAGAAGGCCTACGACAAAGCGGAGTGAAGCTTTGTCCACACCTCCTTAAAAAAGATGGGCTTTGGCCCTCGAACCTGGGTAGGCGCTAGCTACAAGTTTGCAGCATCGGTTGTGGTGGTAAATGGTAGATTGTCCGAGGAATTTCAGTTAACACGCTCCCTAAGGCAGGGCTGTCCCTTAGCCCCACTCCTATTTGTTCTTCAATTATAAGTCTTACTAGACAATATTAGAAATAATATGAACATCGTTGGTCTGAAGCTCACCCCTGAATTAGAATGGAAAGGGGGGGCGATTGCAGATGATCTCACTGTAGCATGCGACAACAGTCCGTCATCCCTTCAGGAACTTAGGAAGGTTTTAGATACGGATTGTGAGTTATCTGAAGCTTTCATAAATTGGGATAAATCTATATATTTTCTTCCCTACTTCCGAGAGTTGAGTGTGGATTCGGGATTGAAATGTTACCCTGCTAATGCATCAAACCGGTTTTGGGGGGTTCAGGTCTCCCTTTCGGACTGTTCAGCAGCCCAAGATTCAATGCTTACAGGTAAGGTTACGACAAAAATTACCAGCTGGGTTTGGAATTTCAAATTGTCACTCTTTGGTCGAGCCCTAGTACTTACCTCAGCAACATTTTCCCTTTCATGGTTCCCGCTCTCAGTTCATCTGTTGGGGGCGGGTGTCTACTCCCGGATCAGGAGAGAGGTTGCGCGCTACATATGAAAACCAGCAGCAGTCCTCCAACAGGGTGTCATATGGAAAGTGGCCTGGGAGACCATAGCTGTGGCAAGGACACTGGGTGGTCTGGGCCTCATTGACCCAGTCCACCAGAACCTGGCTCTTCTTAGCAAATGGGTTATATCTGTAGCCTTTGGAAGTCGGTCTAAACTTTGGGTCCACCTGGCTGAATACATCCTCTGTAAAGAATGGAGTCTGTCAAGAGGGGCAGATGTATGGCTTTGTCTCTTCATTCCATCCTTTGCCCCAAGAAACCCCAACTCGAAGATTTGGCGAAATATTCTATACGCCTGACACAAACTATTCCCAGAGGTTCTCAGACAGCCAAAAACAAGAAGGAAAGTTTTAAATCAAATACTATTCGAAATTCCCTTCATTAGAACTTCAGAAAACTTTTCCCTAAAAGCTGATGGGGGCCCACGATCCTTCGGCAAGGCTTGGATAAAGAAGGGGATTGTGCAGATCAAGGACATATGGGATGAAGACCGGGGGACTTGGGTACTAGATACTGAGCTTCGACAAAAATTGGGTACACTCCGGACTATAGTTAGTAACTATGAGACATTGCTCAGTGCAATTCTAGCTTACTGAAGGCCCTGCTGCCTAGCACAGTGGAACATGGCCTGAGGGCCTGACTCTTAAACACAGACGACACACGGGAGATGCTAAGAGTAATCGGTCCAGACTTACCACACGGGATAAAGGTACAAGTCTGGAAAAGGAAGTCGAGGGCCTCTGCTCTGTCCTCACTTACTAAAGGGGAGGATAGGACTATTCCTTCAACTATTGATTTAGTAGAATGTCGAGTCCTCCTTAAGTCTCATGCAAAACAAGAAACGACTTCCCTTATTACAAAAGATGCCTCCTCAATCTTAATTGAGCCATTACTATATGGCTGGCATGCTGGATCAGAGCCTAACAGCTCGACCCCAGTGGCTTTGTATAGCTCGAAAATTGGCGTTGAATTGCTACGGGCGAAGGTTAAGAAACAGCCGGTGCTGACGGCGACAAAGAGACTGGCAAAAAAACTGGGTTTTATTTTAAGAAATATGGATCTGTTTGGGAGGTGGAAAACACTAAAAATGATGGTTTCTCATAAGCAGGCAAGTCTGATCTGGATTCAAGTGCTCCTAGTAACACCTTCAACAACTTGGCTAGCCTCAAAGGGCATGTATATCACCAAACAGTGTTCGCGCTGCAACTATGGCTGGGAATCTGCGTCCCACATCTGGCTATTTTGCCCTTTTTCGCTTCAAGTTTGGGAATGGTGGAAAGAGAGATGGAAGGCTGTAGCAGGGGACAACTTTCTCTGGACACAGGAATTGTCCTTATACGGTATGACCCATACACAGGTAGACTTCTTCTCAGGGTGGGCATATGAGGCCCTGGCCTGTCGTAGGGCGGTGATGGAAGCTCTATGGAAGGCTCGCAATAAAGCAGCCTTTAAACAGGAATCAGTCTCCTTCCAAAGCCAGGTAGCTCTGGTTAAATCTCTGGTAAGGCAAGCAGTCCGGGTAGATTGGCATGCGGCTTGCACTCAGACTCGAAAAAAACGATTCTAGTTCTCCCAGACCTGGACAAAAAACAGTGGCTGGGTCTCAATCTCTGCAGAAGGAAACTTGAAATTTGATGACTGGCTGATCTCATAAGATTTACAGACCGCTTTTTAGGTCTCGATAACGATGGTGGGGTATATTAGGCCGCCTCTTTTAGGCCGTCCCCCGGTAGTGGCTATGAGAACTATCTACAGATTGATATGTTGATTGCTTAGGGATAAATGCCCTGGCCTAGATTTCTTTTTCTTCTTTCACGTTTGCGGTAGGTATAACTTGGATTTGGCAGCTACTTTTTGTCAATTTCTGGTAATAGATTTAATACTAGTTTTTTTTTAGCGAAGGGGTGAGGACAGTAGTGATTGGTAGGTCCGAAAACTACCTTTGGTCAGTGCTTTGTTGTGTTCATTCGTTTTTTTTTTTTTTTGCTCTTTGTATCCTCGGGTCCCTTTGGGTCTCGTAAAAAGCGAAACTGGGTTAGGCTCCCAGAGATTCTTTCTCCCGGGTAGACTGTGAGAACCCTGGCCTCAGTTCATTCAATATTAATATTAACCTTAAAAAAAAAAAAAAAAAAAAAATGTTGCAGTCCCACTAACCCTCTCGGCTCCTCCCCCTGCTCCCCACCCAGCCAATGCCTAATCAGGACAGAGTGGTATGTGATTGTTGCAGTCTCGCGTACCACCGCGAGGGATTCCCTTTGTGTGCCTGATGGGACTCCCTTCTCTGATGGTTGCCATGCTGAAGCGTGCATTTCATATATTTTGAGAGAAAATCGAAGTACTGGATCGGGTTAACAATTGACTGGAAAAAAGAAGGGGTTGAAAAACATGCTATTGGAATACTTGATTTTTTTTCATCTTTTGAAGAGTTACCAATCAAAATGAGTTTTTCTATTTTCTTTTCCCGCCTTCCATTCTTGGGAGCTGGAAAGAAAAAGCACAAAAAAAAAAAAAAAAACACTTCATAATATAAATCCCTCACAATTTCTCTGTCATCCGATTCTCCTGCATTAGTGGTCGGACGATGTCCCGCAGATGTCCGAAAGGTGTTTGTGGGGCACAGTTTACCTTACTCTTTTGCTAGTGGAACCGTGCTCCAGAAGCTAGGTAAGGCTCCCAGAGAGACTAACAAGGGGTAAAAAAAAAAAAAAAGTCCAAACTGCCAAAAAAAAAAAAAAAAAAAAAAAAAACTCCAAAATGTAAAAAAAAAAAAAAAAAAAAAAAAAAAAAAAAAAAAAAAAAAAAAAAAAAAAACCCTTATAACTGTCGGTTGCACTCACGTTGGTATGGCCACGAGTTGCACTCAGGAGGTCACGAGTTGCACTCACGAGGTCAAGGGTTCAATCTCCAATGCCTCACATACGTGTCTGGGCATGCTTGGTGTCCCACCATCCAGAGATACCCCATTAGCCCCGCCTGCCACCATTTGTAGCATCTTGGCCAATGTTGTTGGGTGATATGCTACAACAATATTGACTTTTAGACACCGCTAATGTTGCGGAGGCGGGGGTGGAAGTGGAAGGGACAGTCACTGACTATAGTGTCGGTTTCCCCTATAGGCAACGCCTGCCCACCCCGCTTCACAGTGAAGAGGGGCTGGTACAGCCTTGCTCTCGCACCACAACTGTTATAGGCAATGCCTGTCCACCTGGCATCACCAGTGTTTGGCCCAGTTATTGATGTAGAGCCTAAATTTGGTCCGCGTGCCAAGAAAAAACGAAGTGATGTGGGCCTGTTTTTGTCCGGCACCGCCAATCATTTCAGTTCGGTACCCGAACCCCTTAAATGTGAGGCGCAATAACGTGCGAGGCCCACATCCGATGTATGGGCCAAGTACTGATGGTTTAAGATAATAATATAAATTATAATTTTTTAAAAATGAAAATGCAGCCCCCATTGATCCCATTGGTTCGACCTTTACCTCTTTGCACCCTGTTTACCGGGTTGACTGGGCTTCGGTGGACCACTTGCCGAATGCCAATTTTCGCGTCCTCACCACGGTTGCACACACTCACTGGTCATATGTGCCAAGCATGATAAATTAGCGTAATTATATGTTGGGTTGAGTGAGTTATCATCGCTCGTCATCAGTCAAAAATTTTGAATGCATCTGGACAAATTTTGTGCGCATATTACTTTTTAAAGATTGCTACTTTGTCTCAATTTACAAGATGTGACATTTCTGATAATACAAACAATAGAGTATTGAGGGAGTGCCTTTACTTAATAGACTATTGGAGGTTGAGCGTTAAGGATGGATAACAACTAACATAAGTATTTGACTTAGCATGGTTCTGGAGGAAAAATAATTATATAATTTTATCGAACGTTGAGGTAAGTTATTAATTAGTTAATATATAAATTGTTGATATGGTCATAACCCTTGTCAAAGTTTATGAAAACCATTATAGATTTAAGCCTCATTTGTTTGTACATCTAAAGGACAACATTGACTAGTAATACATTTATTTTTTAAATCTCTATTATGCAAAACCGTTATTTAATCATGTTATATCATACCCTCAAGATCCTTTTGAAATCCATTAGCTTGGAGTCCATCTAACATTTTGTTAATTATTATGAGAAACGCTCTTGGCTAGTAGTTTCGATGATCAAATTTATCTATTTTTTTAATGGGAGGATTAATATCCTTTATCTTATTATCTTCATTAACTACATTCCTCATAAACGACCTTATATAATCTCGTAAGCTTCGACCCTACAATATTCCAAAGATACCATAAAACCCGGTTTATTAAAGCATTGTCCAAATTATTCGTTACCTGTAAATATTTATACCCCTCGATCTTTCACTTACCTGTTCTTATATTTGTTCAATCTAGTTACAAATTATAACACTAATGACCTTCACTATTGGTGCAAGGTGCATAAAAAATTGATATTTAAAAATTTTACAAGAGCATCTTTATGTTTGAAAATATTATTAATGGAAACCAAAATTTCGTCATGTTATGTAAAAAAAAAAAAAAAAAAATCATTTTAACCGAACTTGCACCAATTTATAAAGTGGATACCATATTAATTACGCACCAAAAAAAGAACAGAAGGAAAAAAATATATTAAAGTGAAAGGTAAAAATTTATTCTCATTCAAATTTGCCAACATTTTATTTAAAAGAAAAAACTCGAAATTAAAAATGTGAACAAAGGAATTTTCAATGTTATAAAGGATACCAGATTTATGACACATCAACCTTGAAAAAAAAAAAAAGTCAAATTAAAATTAAGCATAAATATTTACCCCAAGACATCAATTTTAGATTTCGACTCATAAACCAAGAATTGCAAAGTGAGGGTATTGGTCTCACTATGTTTGGTGCTTGCCTTGATGGTATATAGGTCCTCTGAGTTTTTTCTCGGTGTCCTCATTACCTAATTTAAACGTTCTCAGAGTTCACGCTTATTTTTGTTTCACCTTTCTTTTATCTTATTTCTTTTGTATTTTGTGAGGTAGTGAATATAAGATAATACCAATATTGTTTTTTTGTTTGAGTGAAATTATTAGCTAGGATAGGGGAATTATGTGTCCACGGGAAGAAAATTTAGACCAATCAAAAAGAGACCTCATTTTACTAGTAGTTGGTAAGATATGTTTACAAAGAGGATTAATATTTATTTATAGACAAATACTTTATAAGATATAACATTGAATTTGTGAAAACCTAACAAAACAAAAAAAACTTACATTTTTTATAGAATGAAAAAATTAAAGTTAAACAATTATTTTTGACACATAAAAGATAACCTCTTTAACTGTTTCCCGAGAAAAAAGGCAAAAAAACGGGCAAAAAGTATAGTGATTCTCAAAATGTGCAAGAAAATCATTTCCATCAAAGTCCATGTTATAAGGCTATAACTTCTTCTCAGTAGACTGACAAAAGCATAACTCCAACAAGCTAATGTTTAAGGACTGCAAGCCGAACTCGAAAGATGTTAAAAAAAACAATTTCAATGAATACTCATTTACAAGACTATAAGTTATTTTCAGCAGTTTGGTAAAAACCAAGCTTTTCAAAAATTGGTCCTTGTAAAAAAATATATGTTTTGTAAGAGGAAAATTCAAACAACTTTTGTTTGGGAGACATCTTCAAATTCTCATCGAACCACGATTTAAAATTAAAAATGAAAAATTATTTTAATAAAAAACAGAAAAAACAATGTATTTGTCTATGTATGATAAAACATATTCAAACGAATGTATTCGTGAACAGGAGAACATGAGTGCGTGTTTGGGAAACCCCCGAATAGGTTCGTTATGCTACATACCTTACTAAACTATAAATATGATTTTTAAAGATAAACGAAAACTATGATATTTCAGTTCCTCAATAAATGGTGCTTTGCAAGGTAGTGAATTTTCTTTAAAAAACTTGCTTCTCTCCTCACCACTTCTAGTGGTTATGAAAAAATATATTTCTATCCCTTTTTGCGGTCAATTTACTTCACATAGAATTTTGTTAATGTAGGAGGAGTAAGAAATGTATCATAAAAATCTTTCAAAATTTCCGTGCAAACCTAATAATTTTTTTTGTTAGGTTTTCATGAATCCTATGTTATATATATACTACAAAAATAACAAGATTTAAACCACCCCTACATTCAACGTGTACAAATAAATTATTTTGATGCATGCATATATGTTTTACGACGTTCAAGAATTGTTAGTGTTTCACAAAAATCGTTGACGAAAGCAACATCAACGACCTACAAAAGTTATCCTGGTCCCCCAAGGTAACAAAGTATATAAAACTTAGCTTGAAAGAAATTATTAAAAAATGTATTAATGTGTTAATCAAAGAAATTCATATTAGTTATGTTCATTATCTCAAACGGATATAAAATGAAACATCTTAGTGGACGAGATTCTTTTAAAGTTTTTTTTTTCCTTAAAAAAGGCAAGCATTATGGAGACAACACATGCATTCAAAAATGAGATTCATACGAAAGAGCAAATTGTGATTATGCCATAAATTTCTTAAGTTAGTTTAGTAATAGATAGTGTACCATTTCAAATGAAAGGTCGAAAATGAGTTATCTTAATAGGAGAATGGTAATAGATAATAATCTAAAGCTACGTAGCACCGTGTTCGCGTTCGGAGGTGAACGCGAAGAAGCGCCCCAAAGCCTCCGAACGCGAACATACAAACATTAAAAAAAACAAAAACGTTCTCAGAAAAATATGAAAAAATTATATGTTATATAATATAACAATATAAGAAACTTTTGCCGTGGAGTTATGTTCAAATTCGTAGCCAATCAGAAATCAAAAACCGAATATATATGTATATATATATATATATATATGTATACAGGGTAACCGGCGTTCGGGACGGGCCGAACGCCCAAACCCGAACGCCCGAACGTATGGGACCCCTTGGGGATGTGTTCGGCGTGAGCATGTTTTCGACACCGCCATCTTTGGCAATTTTTTTTTTTTTTTTTGGCATAGTTAAATGCCCTGAAAATTTACCGATATGTACTTCACATAATACAAAACACACTAAAAAACTTTTAAAAAATAATAAAATTGTTTAGACCTCGAACTAAAGAGAAAACAAAAAGTAAAAAGTGAAAAAATAGGTGGGCGAGCACGTTTTGACACCGCCATCTTTGGCGATTTTTAATTCTTATTTTGCTTCGCCAAATGACTTGAAAATTTACAGGCATGTACCTCGCATCATAGAGAACTCACAGAAAACAATTCAGAAAAATATAATTATTTTTAGGTCCCGAAATAATTTTTGGCGGGGGCCGAACGCCGTCGGGTTCGGACACCGTACGGGACCCCGAACGCCCGTACGTACGGAGGTCTGCCCATGGAACTCCGTACGTACGGGCTGGTGACCCTGTATGTATATATATATATATATTTATGACGATATATATATATATATATATATATATATTCAGCCTCCTGATGAGTCGGTGAAACTTCGACGAAACAGTTTGTCACAGCCCCTCGTTTGTTNTGACGATATATATATATATATATATATATATATTCAGCCTCCTGATGAGTCGGTGAAACTTCGACGAAACAGTTTGTCACAGCCCCTCGTTTGTTGTCCTCTTCTCCCTCTCTGCCTACGGTTTACCGGGCAGTTCTATTTGACGATATATATATATATATATATATTTTATTTTTTACAGAAAAAAAATGTTCGCCCGAACGTGTTCGTGCGAACGTGAAGGGGCGTGAACACGTTCGTCGTGCTACACAACTCTAAAGTATTGGTTAGGGATCAAGCTTTTCAACATTTGGCGGATATTCTCTACTATAAAGTTACACTCTAAAGATGAAACAATGTAATTAGGTAAACCATTTTTATGAGCATATTAATAATGCATCACATTTATCAAGTTTTACCAAATTACAAATTGACTTGGAATGGTGGGGTAAAGCTATGAAACTCTATAAAGGGTCAGTCCTTTACCGTGATTAATAGTCATAATGTTCAGGTGAAGCTTACACTTGTTTAATTTTTTTTGTGTTTCTTTTTTTTCGTGTAGCTTTTCACTCAAATACAGTTTCAAAGGTCGCTTTTGACCCTAACAATTGAAGATAAACCTCGCCTAGTCCAACAGGGAGGAAGATCAGTGTACATCTATGGAGTTTGAATAGTAATACGTTGGTGTGACAGACAACCTCACGTCCGACGCTTCTTTCCTCACGAGTGAGACTAAGGTGCGGAAGGCAAAAAAAAATGTGTAAATGGGGATTTGCGAATAACTTTTAGAAGAAGGGGGATGCAATTATAGGTTTAAACTGAAATTTTTGATGTCTCGTTCTATGAGAATATAACGAGCCTCTTGAATTAAGGTCATAAAACCTTCGTACACACATTCATACTGCACGATAAAATAGGACAGTTTTTCAATATTAAAAATAAAAACGACTGTGATGAGCTTTACAACATCTCATTTTATATTAAAAGCTAGCCAGCGTATAAGTTAGATCCATGTCCAGAACGAGTTCAACAACATGTCTCAAAGAGTTCGAAACTGGAATTGGATCGACGCAAGTGTGTTGCCCTTTCTATTATTCCCAACTCTTTACGTGGCACGTAATCGAACCCTCTTACTTTCAGGTTCTCGCTCGTCAATAGTCTGAACACAGGGTACGACGCTAATAAGGTTTTACCGTCGAGGACGGGATGATAGTGAGCTTATTGACCAGAAGCAAAGCGGAGAGGGAAAAATAGTGTCTTTAATCCTAAGTTATTTTTCCGGACATCCGGATGGCCCAGGACCATCCGGAATATCCGGTCGGAAAAATCACCCTGGAAGAACCCAAAAATAAACATTTAGAGGCCTGTGCAAAATAGGGGGAGGGCTTCTTCTTAGGGTTTAGGGGTGCCAAGATCAACCCCTAGCAAAACCTCACGATGGTAGATCCTGGGCAAAACCCGCAAATTTCAAAAAACAAAAAGGCTGATCTGGGCCGTCGGTCCACCAAGATCGACGGCCTAGATCGGGCCAATTTTGAATTCGAAATTGCACAGCCCCGCCTCCCCGCAGCCCTGCCTCCCCTCTGCTCGCTACCCCG